AATAATCATAGGTAAAAAGTAATTTAAATAGTAAAACAAAGTTGAGTCCAAACAGCTACGTGACTGGCTAAATTTATCAGCAGCAAAAGTTTAGAACAACAAAAGTACATTCTGCCCAACGCTGATAAAATCGTATTCAGGAGTTAGTGCATTATAATTAAGCAACATAGCAAAAAAAGACTTGTATATGGCAAATTTACCTTTAATCCCCGTTCCTCTTCAGTTCGATCGTCCACAGAGGCAGAAATGATGCCCCAACGACAATCGACATCCAGCAGATAGCCGCGAATAATAGGAGTCGCTGCGCTCAAGGCCATAACGATCGGGCAAATGGTGGCCAATTGGTCATATAATACGCGAGCCTCATCAATACAGCAAGCCTTGTTTGGAAGGTATTAAGCATAAATCCATAGACAAAGTTCATTTTAAGTGCTAACTATGAATTTTCCTCCATTTAAATCAACAAACAATGTGACATGGGCATTACAAATAAAAACAAAATAAATTGAAATATGGACATAATGGAATTTAAAAAGTTCAAATATTCAGCAAAACAGTGGTTCCTTGAACTGAAACAATTTTTTGTATAGAATCAGATTACTGATTACGTCATTATTTCTGATAATATCTAACAAAATTTAATCTAAGTGTGATGCCTATCTATGGAAATATCCATCGTATGAAGAAGGATAAGGAAAAACATTTTTACGGAAAACTAAGCACTGCTTCAGAAAAAACTTAGAATATTCTGACCACATTGGGCGAAGAACGCCTTTAGTCGTTCTGATTTGATCAAGCCAAAAATTTAATAATCCCGTATGCTCACGTGAAATGCTCCAGTTTAAACAAAAGAACTTAAATTCGAATAAAGTGGGAAATTCTATTCAAGAAACCCTAAGAGTAAAAAATAAAAAGTTTGAAGCAAAAATTGTAGTACAAGATAATAAGCATACTATTAAAAAATAGTAGTATGTGATAATAATAAAAATTAACATGTCACAGGGTAGGAGTTTATGTGAATGTAACAAGTAATTAGGTAATAAATTTGAAGATCAAGATAGTGTTGCCATCTATAAAAAGTAAGCGTGGCTTCGTTTTCTAAACTTTTTCAGGGACACGAATGACCTTGTCGAACAGATTGAATCATGTGCGTCTTGCAATAACAGGCATAACAAGTTCCAGAATTGGAACATTGACTCAGTACATTCCCAGATGTTTCACCTACATCGTCAATGAGCCACGACAGCCATAGCAACAAACTGCGACCAATAAGAAAGTCATTAAGTGTATCCTCTAGCTAATTTTCCTCGAAACGATTGTGATATCTTTAAACCCTTCCTGATACATAAGAACCTCTATATTCATATCTCACTCCCGTGTCACAAATGAAAACTTATTTATTTGGGAATGTACCACGTTCACGGTCCGACTTTGGAAATAATTATGCATACAATGGACTCAAGACAATGTGCGTTCCTATAAGTCTTCCTACCAATATGACCCAGTTGCGAAACAAGGTCAACAACTTCTATACAACGAAAGGAGACTGCGACCACACAAAAGGCCACACCATCCTGGTCTTCATATCTTCGATAAAACTTATTTATGTTGGAGTACCAAAGAAGTATGCCCTTTTGAATGGATTTAGTGAGGTATTATCAGACCAAGTGATTAGATTAATCCCCTTAGGGGACGGGAATTTTTTACATGACTTAAACCTTTTGCCCAAAAATTACTTT